GCTCCCAGTGCCTGAGCCTACCACTTGGCATGGCCAACAGCTGCCCATCAAGATGGGCAGGGCTGTGGTTGACAGGAGGGCGCTCGGACACGCGCACAGCTGTGCTGCCTGCACCCTCGTCCTCCGGGCAGTCCTTCCTCCCTAGCCAAGAATTTACTCACAAATGACTTCTTAGGCGGCGTCCTCCTTGGCCTCCTCTCCGCTGCCCTCCGCTCTGGCTGTGTCGTGATGTAGGATGACCATTCCTCCCTACACGGGGCTCTCCCACAGGCCCAGGGGAGGGCCTTGAGCAAGCTGTGCATCCCGCAGTCCTGGTATACAGTAGGCACTCAATAAAAGCAAGGCTGGGTTTCAGCAAGCAGGGACTGACGGCCATGCTGGAGATTCCCCGTTGTTAATGATTCGAGAAGAGGGAGGAGAGCACGCGGAGAGGCTGACCCCTGCCCCTGCTGCCTCCGAGGTGCAGCCCCAGGAACGCAGGGGGCTGGGGTGGCCCCCTCCCGCGTCCACCCAGAGCCGTTTTCTTGCCAGCAGGAGCCGGCTCCCCGGGCTGCCCGAGTGATCACTCCAGAAAACACCCCAGTGGAAACTGTATGAATGATTGATAAGAGCTGAGAGCTGTTTAATTTTTTCCCCCTGTTTAATGGCTATCAATAATTTAATACGCTCTCTGTATGTTTTTAAGAAATAGCACCCATTTTGCCGTCTCCGGTTTAGCAGGCTAAATGATTTAAGTGTTGGAAATGTGCTCTGAGGGTGGAGGCTGAGCCGGTCGGAGAGATCTGGGGGCTGGGGGTGGGGGAGGTGGGTGCAGAGCCAGCTGAGGCATCCTGGCCGGGTGGGGCATGTGTGTGCATGTGCGTGTGTGTGTGCATGTGCGTGTGTGTGTGTGTGTGTGTGTGCGTGTGTGTGAGAGAGAGAAGGTGGGAGGGAGGGAGAAGGGAAGGGGCGGGCAAAAGCCAGCGTCTCTCTCTGCTATGAGCAAGATAATTGCTTCCCACCGCCCCCCCCCCCCCCCAGCCTCACTGAGCAGTGGCTGAACAGCTGGCAGCTTAGCACCACCCCACGGGCTGAGCTTTTCGGGCCGGGGGGCAGGCAGCATGGCCTAGGAAGGAGCTGCTGCTTCTGTCACCGTGGACTGAGAATGCCCCTCCCCCGGCACCTTGGCCCCCTTCTAAGGCTGCCTCCAGCCCTGCCGCTGTGTCCTGGATGGCAGGGTAAGGGTGGAGTGGCATGGTTGGGGGGGAGGTTGGGATCACTCATGTCTGGGCCCGGAGGGGCCTGGGAGGCCAGCTGCCGGCGCCTCTCCGACCTCCCCAGATGCAGAGGATCACCCTGGAGGACTTGTTCACCACTGAAGTTTCTGGGCCATGTTCCAGACCCACAGCCTTCCGTTCTCAGGGGAGCAGCCTGGGAAGCTGTGACTTGAACCATCCGCCCAGGTGCTACTTAGCAGCAGACGAGCCTGGGAAATACAGAGTCCAGCTCCTCTGGATGCTGATAGCACCCGCAGCCCCCGCAGCTGCTTCCCTCTGCTTGCACACCTCTGGGGCCGGGTTGCCTCTGCACCCCCACGAGGCTGCAGATGCTTCTGCCGTTAGCCTGTGGCCTGCCCAGCTGCCCCTGTGCCTCAGCTCAGACTGCCTCCCCCATCCCCATGGCCTTCTCCTCCCAGCCCGGCCTCTCTGGCTTGTCTGTGCCTCTCTGTCGGGCAGGGAGCTTCCTTTCTTGGCAAAGGGTGTCTGAGACAGAAGGCAGGCAGGTGACAGGTGCCGCGTGGCCTGCCCCTGGTGGACCGAGGGGGCCTCATCCACCTGCTGCTGGCAGGCACTGCCGCCGGCACAGTGGGGACTCTGAGGAAGGCAGGAAGAAACTGGTCTAGCAGCGGCTCAGACTCTCTGCAGGAAAGCAAACTGGGACTCCTGGGAGATCCCCGAATAGCCCAGGTCGCAGATGACAGGAGGGGAAACTGAGGCTGGAGGGGGCTCCCCAGAGGCCACACCTCTGTTTAGGACCGAGTTGGAGTTGCAAAGATGGAGGCTGGAGGGACACTGAGGGACATCTAGGTGTTGGGGGTCCGCTGAGACCACCCCCGCCCCAGTCACCGCCCCGAGGGCTGTGGGCGGAGCTGAGTCAACGCAGGGGAGAGGTGTAGCCATGGTCTGGCTGTCTGCCATAGCAGCGCTTCCTGGCTCTCCCAGGCAGTCTGCGTCGGTAGCAGAAGGTGTGCACTGTGTGACTGCCAGTCAGTCTGCCAGGTTTATTTCCATAGATAATTATGAGGGGAGGAGGCGAACGCATTGTCTGCCGGTGCCATCATCCATGGCGAAGTGGGGAGCCCGTAAGTCCCCCCCTGCTCTGCCGGCCCCCTCTGCACCCCCACACTCAGCCCTGCCCTTGGTGTCTGTGCACTGAGCCTGGGCTGGGGCTGGCATGTAACCTGCCATGTGACACCGCGTCCCTCACCCCCCGGAAACGGGCTCTAATCATCCCAGTCTGGCTGTGCAAGAGCTGAGGGATGCCTGCCCCTGCCCAGGCCTCTGCTTGGAGAGCTCTGTGTGGACAGGGCCTGCGTGGGCAGGGGAGGTTTCTAGGAGGCGGTGCTGCCTGACCGCAGACAGGAGACGTGGTAAGAAGGGGCAGGTACCCCAGGAGCACAGGTGTGAGGCGACGCTGGGGGTGTGCAGAGAGCAGGGAGGCTGGGGGCGGGGTAGGTGGGGAGGTGCACTGGAGCCGGCGCCTGGGCTGAGAGCCACGGAAGGATTTGTTTGTCCCTTCTGTTGAAGTGTGACACCCATGCAGGAAGGTGGCGTGTCCTACATGTGTGGCTGCAAGTGTGCATGCCTGTGTGGCAGCCGTGCACATTGAGACACGGCTGCGTCAAGACCGCCGCGAGCCCCCGGCTGCCTCCCTCACTGCTGCCCCCGGGGACACTGGGTCACTATGCTGACTTCCAGCTGTCTGCCCTCAGCTCTTGCTGTCCACAGACCACCCCACAATGGGTGGCTTCGTGAGCACAGCAGTGGTGTAGGATTCTGCCGGTTCTGTGGTTTGGCTGCGTGGTCCCCCACTCGTGGTTCCCATGGGCTCACGTGGCTCCAGTGGCCTGGAGCGTTGGCTAGACCAGAAGGCCCGCAAACAGCCTCCGCTGCACTTGGTGGGCAGTTGGTGCTGGCCGTTGGCTGGTGGCCTCCGTCCCTCTCTGTCTTTCTGTAGAATAGACTGGCCTCTTTCCCAGAGAGAAGACGAGGAGGCAGGGCCACTTGAGGCCTCCTCTGTAACTCCCAAAACACCACTTTCACCAAAGCCTATGGGTCAAGACAAGGGTCAAGGGCAGCCCAGAGGGAGGGCTCACAGAACAGACTCCACCTCTTGGGAAAATTACAGACTCCGTGGCCGTATGGCGTCTGCAAGTATGGTTTTGCCTGTTCTTGAGCTGTGTCTGGCTTTTTTTAATTTTAATATTTATTTGTATATTGAAAGAGTTCCAAACAGAGAGAGAGGGAGAGAGCGAGCGAGAGAGAGAGAAGTCTTTCCTCTGCTGGTTTACTCCCCACGGTGGCCACAACAGCCAGGGCTGAGCCAGGCCATAGCCAGAAGCCAGGAGCCAAGAGCTTTATCCTGGTCTCCAACATGAGTAGCAGGGGCCCGAGAACTTGGGGGCATCGTCCACTGCTTTTCCTAGGCACTAGCAAGGAGCTAGATCAGAAGTGGAGCAGCCAGGACACGAATCAGCATCCATTTGGGATGCCAGTGTCACAGGCGGCAGCTTTATCCACTAAGCCACGATGCTGCCCCAGTGTCTGGCTTTTTGAGCCAATGTTATGCTTGCAAGATGTACTCATGTGGTCGGATATAGTTTTAGATCACTCATTCTCAGTGCTGGGGATAATCCACCATGGGGTCCACCGATACGACAGCTTGGCAGTCGATGGCCATTTGGGAAGCTTTTGGGTTTTGGCAAATATGGACAGCAGTGCTAGGAACACAATAGTGCGTGTCTTTGGGTGAACATGCTCTCGTCGGTTCTGTGGAAGCAGAGTTGTTGGGGCACAGAATAATAGGCCCTGGGGTAGGAGAGCTGCTTCTGAGCTGTTCTCGGGAGTGCTGGTGCCTCCCCCCTCCCTGCAGCCAGCCTGCATCACAGCCACCAAGGAATCTGGGTCTCTGCAGACCCAGCAGCTGGGGAGAGACTGCCTGGCGCAGCCTCCGTCTCTGACGGCTCAGGGCAGGGTAAGCCCAGGAGCCATGGTTCTGCTGCTCCACCCTGGCCTCTGCCTCTTCCGTGGGATGGTGGGCAGAACCCTTCCTGCTTCATGGCCTCAGTTTCTCCCTCTGTAAAATGGCAGCGAGAAGTGTGTGTCTCACCTTGTCTCTTTGCTCTCATTAACTTGACCCCTGTGTTCTAGAATCTACCAGTGGGCGGGACAGGGGGAGACCTTGGAGATCTCCGTAAGCGTCCTGATTCCAGGACGTTTCATCCTGTCAGTCATTCATTCGTTCACCGTTGTCACATCTGTCAGGCAGTCGCTGGCCCTTGCCAACAGTCTCAGGGGATGGACACGGAGAACAGACTCAGTTTCCGGTGTCCAGGAGCTCCGTCCGGAGAGGGAGACGCCCGTAGAAAGCTGGGAGGGTCCAAAGCTGACTGTGGCATGGACAAAGGAAGGACAGGCAGGTCAGGCAGGGCTCCCAGGCTTGGGGCCTGGAGAGACCGATAAGATAAGTGGGGAAAGAGCTCCGAGTAGGATCCCAGCACGTACCATGGCCAGGGGGGCTGGGAGGCTGCACCGACGGGAACTGGTGGTGGGCATGCTGGCATGTTAAAGGCGGCATCTGGGTCCTGGAAGGTCAAGTTCAGGGGTGGGGACAGGGCGCGCACCCGGTTTCTTGTGGAGGCCAGTTTGACTTCCCGGAGGTGATCTGTGCTGGTGGAAGGGGAGGGGACCACCCCCAGGAGCAGGGCTTGGAGCTCACCTCCTCCCCTTCTGTCTCCCCAGGACTTGCAGCAGCAGTGCTGGGCTGAACAAGAGCTGCTGGGCCGCGGCCTCTTTGCCTTGACCCCCACCTCAGCGGCCTCCCGTCCCGGCACACAGGCAGAGGTCTGAGCAGGTAAGCAGGAGGTCCTGTCCCTTGGGGCAGACACAGGCTGCGAAGTCCTGCCCAGGGTGGGTGCTGTCCCGGAGACCTGGGGAGCCCCGAGGGGGCAGGACTTAGCTCCCTGTCTGCTTCTTCCTTGGCCTTCTCTTCTCAGAGGAAGCAGACGAGGAGGGTGGGCAGTGGCCTGCCTTGGGCCAGGGATGTCTGATTTACTCTGATGCCTACTCCCAATGTGGCCACGGGTCGCCGTGCCTGTCCCTCCGGCATTGACAGCGTCAGTGTTGTGATGTGGAATGTGGACAGAATCATGACAATAATACCCATAATGCTGCGAGCCCTGGACTGTCCCCCTGAGCGCCGTTCTGAGCGCTGCACTGTGATTGATACCTCGTGATCAGGATAAGCCTGCCACCATTGCACAGGTGGCAAGACTGAGCCTTGCCCGAGGTCACACAGCTGCCCAGCCTGGGGCACAGGTTGGGGTCTGTGTGCTCCCACGCGCCAGCCCCTGACCCCCCACCACTCTGTCGCTGGCCTTGCCCCACACCCCAGGCTTCTTGTTGGACAGGGGCCACCATGGGTGTCATCAGGACGGTTAAGTCCTGTCCCAGCTCCAGGCAAAGGGAGAGGCCTTTTGTAAGGGGGTGGCAGCTGCTCCTGGTCCAGGGTCTTGGCTCCCATGTGGCTGTGGGGTGACATCAGCCAGGCTGGCCCCCAAGGCCCTCTCTAGAGGTGTTGCTGGACAAGGTTGACCCCTGTGTCCCTCAGTTCTGTTTCCTAGTTTGTCCTGGGCATTAAGTAGATGCCAGCTCTGATACAAGGGAAAGGGAGAGGGGTCCCAACAGATGGGGCTAACCTCACGACAGCAGGGTGGACAGGCTTCAGAGAGCTGAGGGACAGTGCAGGGGAGACAGCCCAGAGGGAGCACCCACGTGGGCAGGCAGGAGCAGATGGGAGGTGGGAGAGCCCGGTGGCATGGGGGAGGCATTGGCCAGGAGGTCGGGCCCAGCTGACCGTGTCTCCAGCTTTCTCCAGCCAGTCTCCCTCTCTAGATGGAGCTCCTGGACGTCACGAGTGAGTCTAGGGGATTATGAAGGGCTGGGGTGATGGGGGCCACTCTGGGTTCTCAGTTAGGGAGCACTGTCGTGGGTGCGCCTTAGCCAGTAGATCCCCGGGGCTGCCACAGGGAAGGCCCAGCGGGAAGCAGGGAGACGAGTGGTCTGTCCCAAGGGCCCAGTGAATGAGAGGTTGCAGAGCCTCAGCTGAGGCCAGAGAGAGTCACGACAGGAAGGAAGAGAATTCGGCGGAGTCTGCAATGGCTGCGAGGGCCTGGGGGTGGGGGCACCAGGGTAGAGAGTGGCAGTGATGGGGGTGGGGTTGATGTTGAAATTCTGAGTGGAGGCCGAGTCTGGGATCCAGGAAGGCTTCTTATAGGAGGCGGAGCAGGCTGCAGCCCAGAATATCTCCAGGAAGAAGTCAGCTTAGATGGCCTTGTGTGGGCCTGATGTTCTCACGTAAAGTGTAGAAGCACACACACGCATCCTTACACGTGCACCCGGGACTCCCTCAACTCGCAGGTGTGGCTGTGCCCACACTTCCTGCACACACATGCTTGTGCACGGACGTGCATCTACCTCACTGTGTGCGTGCAGATGGGCCATGCGTGCTAAGGACATTCAGCTGTGTCTTTAAGTGATTGTGTGTGCACAACTGCACGCACACATGTGCTGATGTGTGTTCCCTCACACACATATGTAGGTATGCACACAGAGACATCATGCATGCATGCACACAGAAACACTTGCATGTGCATATGTGCTCACAAACCTGTGTGTTTGCCCTGCATGCAGGTACATGGACAGAAGCTGTCATAGCACACGGGTTTACACATACATGTGGGGCTACACATGTGTGCCTGTGCAGGAGGGAAGTGCCCTAGAGAGAAGGAGCAGTTCAGGGGTCAGTGCAGCTCCCCGGGACTCCGGGTAGCTCTGGGCCAAGGCTGAGCTGTGGCTCTGGCTGTGTGCAGGCTGGAGACGGTGACTGGCAAGTTTGATGGCCAGCCATGTGACTGACCGTGGACAAGCCCTTGCTTGTCCTCAGCTTCCTGTTCTGGAAACAGGAACAGCCACCGTCTAGCTCCCGGGGTGGTGGTGTGGATCAGAGCCCACCAGTGTAAATGACTAGGTACGCACGAGAGAAGAAAACAGGTTACAGGTAGGGTGGGATGCTGGGGCATGGTCACGGGGTGTCGCGGGGCCCCTCCCTGCTCCTCATGTGCTGGGGTCTCCATCTTGGCTTCTTGGGGCCGGGGTCCCCCAGTGCCAGGGACACAACAGGCAGCACTGCCTGCCCTCTGCAGGGTGGTGGGTCTCAGTCATCCCTGCCCCTCCCCCAGCTGCACTGTGGACTCCTGGGGAATTGGGGTCTGTGACCCCCCCACCCTGGCTTTAGTATACCAACCGCAGGGGAGGCCCTGCCAGGGGACTGGTGTGGTACCTGCATGGGCCCCTAAGTACCCCCACAGCCTGGGAGGGAGGCCTTTAACTGGCAGTTTCCAGGTGAGACCCTGAGGCCCTGAGCGGGGATGAGGAGCTCTGGACACTGGCCGGGAAGTGCTGCAGCCGGCCTGTCGTGTGCCGAGTTTCTCTCTTTAATCCGCTTGTCTCCCTTTAGGAATAGATCAAGTAAGGCCCGTTTTGCAGATGTGGACACTGAGGCTCAGAGAGTGTGGGCCACACAGCCAGGGAGTGGCAGAGCTGGACTCGGGTGCTTATTAAGCACACTGCACCCCAGATTCAAGACTTCCTCTTCCTTCCCCTCCCTGCTTCCCAGGGGGACCCTCCAAGTTGGAGGGAGTTCCAAGGAGGCTGCTGGGATGATCTAGGCTGTAGTCCTGGCCCAGAATTCCCGGGCATATTTGCCATTTCTTTTGCAAATTCAAAGGTAGATTGTTCTCTGGGGGTCTACTACCTAATATGATACAATCACTTGTTTGCTCTCTGAGGCGCCTTTGAAAGTGTCTTTGGCACTGTCCTTGGGGAACGTGGCCAGCAGGAAGCTCCTGGGTGTCCAGGAGCCCCGGCGGGGCCCTAGGCTTGGAGGAGCTAGGTGCTCTCTGCACCCCTCTTAGCAGGCTCCTTAGCCCGCTGCCATGTCAGGGCATGGCACCACAGCACAGGGAGCTGAGCTGTGCCTGGCATCAGGGTCTAGAAAGGGACCCCTGGGAGGCGACAGTGAGGCTGGGCCTTGGAAGAAGAGGAGAAATTTGCTGGGCTGCTGTGGGGAGAGAAGAAGACACAGAGGGCGGCACAGCTCCAACCAAGCTGCAGAGAAGGGCAAGTTCATTCACAGTCCTCCCAACAGTGTCCTCGGAGTCTCCCGGGATCAGGACCAGCTACTCGATTCGGAGGGTTGAGTGCAAAAGGAGAACGCAGATCCTGGTCGCAGATCAGTAAGGATTTCCGGATGGTGACAGCAGAATGGGGTCCTTCTGGGCGTGGGGTCCTGTGCGATGGCCCGTGAAGGGGAGCCTGGAATCAGGCCAGCAACCGTGCGGTGAAGTGCAGAGAACCAAGTGCCTGTGTAGGCTCCCCCTGTTCCTTCCTGGCCCAGATACCTGGGGCGAACCCCCTTCCCTCTGGGAGCCTCAGCTGCCAAGGTTTGCCCTCCAACGCCCTCTTCCTCAATGCAAGAGGCTCCGTGGGGCCTGCATTCAGTTTGTCCCGAGTGGTGGGGGACAGAGGCTCGGGTTAGGGTGGGATTGCACCCTGCCCCCGACAGCAGGCAATGGTAGTCAAGGCCCCCGTCTACCTTCCAGCCTGTCCCTGAATACCTTTGAGGCCTGGTGTCTTTTTGTGCCAGGCCCGACAGTAGCGGGGGCTGAAGGGGTCCACTTGGTCTCACGCGCAAAGGCTTCTGGCTGGATTGCCCCTTTCCTGCCCACCCGCATCTGCTGGGCAGACTTAGCTCCTGCACACCAGACTTCTGGGACCCCAGCCTTTCCCTCCTGTAGCCACCATGACCTCTTACACCATAGAGTTCAGGATCCAGTGCAACCTGTTCCCCTTTGCCAGATAGGAAAACAGAGGCTCAGGGGCGCCACCCCCACCCCAAGCTGTTTCTGGGCCTGACCACGTCAGACAGGGATGCTCACCGTGGTGGCAGAGGGTGGTCCCTGGGCCAATCTTTTGTAGAGACTGCAGCCCCTGGCCCACAAAAGGTACCTGTTGGGTGCTGGAGGTTGAGCCAGCTGGAGTAGACAGGCGCCCAGTGCCGTGGGTCCTTGGAGGTGGCGTGGCTCCGTCCACTGGGCCAGGTGGACCGCAGCCAGGTGTAGTGAGAAGGCCCTGGTCGGCCTGGGCTGCACTAGCCAGCAAAGGCTGGACACAGAAGAGGGTGTTTTCTTGGGGACGAGCCAGAGTGTCCCATGTCACTGATGCTTTTTCATGAGGCTCTCAAGAGCCGCTGGGGGGTGAGGGAGTGGCCGCCACCGTGACCCTGGACCTGGGCTTCAGGCTGTTTCCCGCTGCGCCACTCCTTTCTTTGTGGCTTCAGATGAGCGACTTAACGTCTCTGTGCCCCATTTCCTCTTCTGCAGAGTGAGCACCCTGAGCAGCCAGCCGGCTGCACCAGGGAAAGCCGAGCAGGCCCGCACAGCAGTACCAGGCCAGAGTCCGCGCTCTGTGGAGGGAGCCTGGGCCGAGGGCACGCGGGTGTGTGGTTGCACGGCCCTTTAAGAAGAGAATAAGGGAGTGCGGGGGGCTGGGGTGGTGCTGGACGCGAGCCGCAGGCACACACAGGATTGTAGACAGCTGCTGCCCAGAGCCTTGTGGGCAGCCACCTGGGGTGGAGGCCATACTCCGTCCCCCGCCAGCCCCAGCCCCGCCAGCGCCGGAGGTGTGGCCTCGTGCTGCCAACCTCTGGGCCATCAGTCAATCAACAGACTGCCAGGGTTACATGGGCAGGTTTGGGGCTGGTGGCAGAGACCTCGAATGCCAAGGCCAGCTCCC